ATGATCAGACTATTAGAATTTGGAACTGGCAAAGCAGGAACTGTATATCTATCTTAACCGGTCACAATCACTATGTGATGTGTGCTCAGTTTCATCCAAAGGAAGATCTCGTTGTAAGTGCAAGTTTAGATCAAACTGTGAGAGTTTGGGATATATCCGGTAATTCTTTATGTTTTAGAATGTAAATTGGTTTTAATACAGTTTTTTTTATTTAATAATAGGATTGCGAAAAAAGCATGCAGCTCCTGGATCTGCAACTTTTGATCATGATCATCACCGAGGACATCAACAAGGAGATTTATTTGGAAATACTGACGCAATAGTAAAATATGTTTTAGAGGGCCATGATAGAGGAGTTAATTGGGTAACATTTCATCCAACATTGCCGTTAATTGTATCTGGTTCTGATGATAGACAAGTTAAATTGTGGAGAATGAATGGTATTCCATGAAGAAAATAGTTTTATATTTTATTTCTTTTTTTTTTTTTTTTTTTGTTTTCAAAATTTAAAGAAACAAAGGCTTGGGAAGTTGATACATGTAGAGGGCATTACAATAATGTTTCTGCAGCGATTTTTCATCCTCGCCAAGAACTAATACTAAGTAATGGTGAAGACAAAACAATCAGGGTTTGGGATATGACTAAAAGAACTGCTCTTCAAACTTTTAGAAGAGAACATGATAGATTTTGGATGTTAGCCGCCCATCCCGAATTAAATTTATTTGCTGCAGGTAAAGCATTATGTTTGTCTGCATCAGCAAAATTTTTTTTTATTTTTTAGGACATGATAGTGGGTTAATTGTTTTTAAATTGGAACGTGAACGACCTGCTTCATGTGTTCACAATGATCAACTATTTTATATAAAAGATAAATTTATTAGAATGTACGATTTCAATACTTCAAACGATATACCTGTTTTATCTATTAGAAGAGCCCCTAGTGGCAGTGGTTCTTCAGTTCCAAGAACACTTTCTTACAACCCAGCAGAGCATGCTGTTATTTTTACAACTGTAAATTTTATTATTTTACAAGTATTTTGATAATTTTTTTTTTTTTTTTTTGGTAGCTTAATGATGGAGGAAATTATGAATTTTATAATCTTCCTAGAGATATGACAGGTGAAGCTAGAGAAAGTAGCGGACAAAACGACTCAAAAAGAGGAGATGGACAAAATGCAATTTTTGTTGCTAGAAATAGGTTTGCTGTCTTGGATAAACCAAATTTACAAGTACACATTAAAGATTTAAAAAATGAAATTACAAAACAATTTAAAACTCCAGCTAACATTATCGATATATTTTTCGCTGGATCAAAAAATATTTTGCTTACTACAACTAATAGTGTCATCTTATATGATACCGAATTAAGAACCAATGTCAGCGAGATTAGTGTTCAGGCAGCTGTAAGACAAGTTATTTGGGCAGCTGATATGAGCATGGTAGCATTACTCAGTAAACATCGTAAGCAAACAAAAATTTTAATTACATTGTTTTTAAATTTTTTTTTCCGAAAGAAATTGTTATTGCAAATAGAAAGTTAGAACAATCTTGTCAAATTCATGAAACCATAAAAATAAAAAGTGGAGCCTGGGATGAGATTGGTATCTTTGTTTACACAACTTTAAATCATATCAAATACGCGCTTCCACTTGGGTAAGGTTACATTAAGAGAATTTTTTTTAATAAGCCATTTTCTGTGTAATTATAGTGATAACGGAATAATCAAAACGTTAGAGCAACCAGTATACCTAACACGAGTGAAAGGAAAAAGTGTTTATTGTTTAGATCGTGATGGAAAAATTCGAATTATAACAATTGACCCAACAGAATATAAATTCAAGTTAGCTTTGGTTAAAAAAAATTATGATGAAGTTTTGCATATCATCCGAACTTCAAATTTGGTTGGACAAAGCATAATAGCCTATTTGGAAAAAAAAGGTTATCCAGAAGTGGCACTTCAGTTTGTTAAAGATCCAAAAACTAGATTCGAATTAGCGTTAGAGTGTGGTAACATTGAAGTGGCTTTGGAAACTGCAAAAACCCTGGACAATGAAGAGTGTTGGGGTCGATTGGGTGAAGAAGCGTTAAGACAGGGAAATCACTTAGTAATTTTATTTTTTATTTTTTGTATTTTACTCAAAAGTTGAACAAAAGGTTGTGGAAATGACTTACCAAAGGGTTAAAAACTTTGATAAATTATCATTTTTATATTTAATTACCGGAAATTCAGAAAAGTTAAAAAAAATGATGAAAATTGCAGAATTAAGAAGTGATAATATGTCAAGATTTCATAATTCGCTGTATTTGGGTGACATTGAAGAACAGGTTAAAATGTTGAAAGAGGTTGGCCAATGTATTCTACCTATTTTTCTAGTTAAACAGAAATTGACTTAATTTTTTTTTTTTGTAGATCCACTTGCTTATTTAGCAGCTAAAACTCATGGATTAGTAGAAGAAGCTGAATCAATTTTAAAATTAGCTGGATTAGAGCAAGCACCAAGTATTGGTTTAAGTGGAGAATTATTGAAAACACCTACTCCTGTTTTAAAAAAATATAATGAAAATTGGCCACTACTTGCACTGTCTAAGGGCTTTAGTGATGGAGTATTCAACAGTGAATCAGGAAAATGTAAAAATTTACCTCCACAAGCAACTCCCATTTCAGGTGAATTGGGGGATTGGGGAAAAGAAGATGATGATTTACCTTCGGACCACAATGAGGGATCAAATGGGGTACAACGCAATAAATTTGATAATGTGGATTATCACAAAAATGAAGAGGAAGTTTTCGAAGAAGATGGTTGGGGTGATTTGGATTTGGATTTGAATATCCCAGCAGAAGACCTGGCGCAAGTAAAAGAAATCACAGAAAAGTCCGATTATTTTACAGCTCCAATTAGTGGTCCTAATGTTAATGATGTTTGGTGCCGTAACTCTGCAGTTGCTGCAGATCATGCTGCTGCCGGTAACTTTGAGTCTGCAATGCAGGTAGTTTCAATGTTTTGTAGTTGTTGAGACATAAAAATATTGTCTTTTTTTTAGTTGTTAAACAGACAAGCAGGTGTTGTAAATTTTGTACCATTAAAAGAACTGTTTATACAATGTTGGCAAAGCAGTCGTGCTTATCTTCAATGCAATGCCTCTTTGCATTCAATAGATGTACCAATTTCAAGAAACTTTACAGAATCCAAGATTTTACCTAACAGAGCTCACGGATTATCAAAGTTAGTAAATCTTTTGCAGCAAGCATATTCAGTTACAACGACTGGACGGTAAAGTTTCGGTTTTTTTTTAAAAATTTTTGAGTTTTTTTTTCTTTGTAGATTTCCTGATGCATTAAACTTATTTAGAACTATATTGCAAGCTATTTTATTAGTTGTTGCGACCAAGCAAAGTGAAATAGACGAGGTAATGCTTTAGTAGGTTTTTTTTTTAATATTTTTGGACAATAGATTCAACAATTTGTCGCAGTGTGCAAAGAATATATTATCGGTTTAAGGATGGAGCTGGCAAGAAAAGATGTTATGGAATCAGATTCAAAAAGAGCAATGGAATTAGCTGCATATTTTACTCATTGTCAATTACAGCCAGCTCACACACAGTTAACTTTACGTGCAGCAATGTCGCTTTGTGGAAAATATAAAAATTTTGCTACCACCATTGTATTTGCTAGGAGACTTTTGGAACAAGGTCCTCCACCAGCCGTTGCCTCCCAAGTATCCAAATTTTTTTTACTTTCTTATCTTTTTTTTTTTATTTAAGGCAAAACAAATAATAGCAATAAGTGAACGCACACCGACAGATTCAATACAATTAGAATATGATCAATATAATCCTTTTGTTGTATGTGGTCATAGCTTTACACCAATCTATAGAGGATCACCGTCAATTTCCTGTCCATTCTGTAAAGCACAATATAAGCAAGAATATAATAAACAACTTTGTGGAGTTTGTGAAGTCAGTTTAATTGGAAGTAATGGTACTGGACTTCGCAATATGAATTAACCATTAGATATTTAATTTTTTTTTTTTTTCTCATTGTTGTATTTTCTTTCTTCAGACTATTTCTGTTCAACTTTTTTTTTTTTTTTTTTTTTTAATTATATTACTTGGAGTTAAAATTTAAAAATAAAAGTTTGAAATATTTTCGATGATGTGTTTAATTTAGTAAGTCTATTTTTTTTCTAAAAAAATAAAAAGAAAAACTTCAGCGGTGAACTAAATTGCAACAATTTATTTAAAAAATATAAAACAAAATCAACATTTTTCTACAGAGAAAACAGAATTCCACTTTTCTAATGTAATATCTTAAAACCAAATTTTAAGACACCTAAATCCATAATAACAAACTTCATTTTCAACCTCAATAAAAGTTTATGGATGGGATGGTCTTTCCAATTATATTTCTCATTATTTGCTTTAATGCAATTGTAAACTCTTTTCGTAAATTTTGAACAAGAGTGCTCCTCTATTTTGTAATTATTTTGCATTTCTTAGAATAACTAATCCTTTTGTTTATAGAATTGTAGACATCAAACGATTCGCTCATGTTTTTCCTCCCTTTTGCACCAGTGTTTTTTATTTTTTGCAAATACTCCAAAAACAATTATCGTTGGTATGGTAAAAAATTCGTTAAACATAAATATGATCTGTTTTTTAGTAATAAGACGAGTGGCGCTGCAGATGCACGAGTTCTGTATAATGCTCAAGCACTTGCTAATTGATGATGCATCGATGACCTATGGGATTTTTGATGTTAATGGCCAATAAAAACATCCAAAAATATTACAGTGTACACTATTAAACTTAATGAATCTATTTTATTCTATTTTTGTTTTATTGAAGTGGACATTATTACTACAATGCTTTTCGTGGATTATTAATATCATGGTCTAAAGTTGTTACAAATTAATCGAAGATTATTGTGTAACGACTTTTAGGTTTATATACTAAAACTAATTTATTAAAAACAAATATCATAAAACCTTTAACATTGCAAGGCCTGGCTAGCTCAATCGGTAGAGCGTTCGACTCTTAATCGAAAGGTTGCGGGTTCGACCCCCGCGTCGGGCTTTTT